CGTACTCGGCCCAAGGATCAGTGTGGGCTTGGCTGGCGGGATTCCACTTAATGGCAGTCCCTAATCTCCCTGCTTGCTAATTAATGGTCACTAATGTTTAAATAATCAGCCATTGGCACATCACCCAAGAAAAATGGAAACCAAAGAGAACAATTTTACATTGTATAAGAATTACTATTTTGTGTTGCCAAGTATGTTATGATAGGTAACTATTAATGGGTACAGAGGCAGGGCTTTCCCATGGGAGAAGCATTTCTTAGTTAATATGGAGTCTCATGGTAAAATGGAGAATGGAGTCTGTTTGGTCATTGTCCATATAGCCTGGCCCATAACATAACTCATCAGTTGAATAAAAGATCAAATTTCAGTGAGAACAACAAAGAAACCATTACATATTTTCTATTGCTTCACTGTGCTTGATTGTGTATTTATCTAAAAACATAGATATTCAGGCACTGCATTGAAGACTTCACAAACAGAATTTAAGGATTTCATAAAACTCTTTGCAATATAGACATGAGGCAATATAAAATATAGAAGTTATAAACAAGGTCTCTATACTTTGAATCAAGTAAGGAGATACAGAAAGATTACTAACAATATATGTGTCACGTGAATTTTGTCACTCAGAGGTTTTCATTAAATAATTTTAGAGCTGCTTTAGCACTTTAACAAGCATGTTTAAGAAATGGACTTTTACTCCATCTCTTCCCTTAAATAAATGACCCATGAGATCACTGTGAGATTTAGTTTCCTTATCTGCAATACAAAAAAATTGAACTAGATAGCTCCTAAATTTTTTGTGTGGTAATATGATATGATTCTTTATACCTTAATATTACCTTATTAATATTGCTCACTGACTTTTTTCAATATTATAAAATAGAATTTGCTTACAAAAATATATACATATTAATATTTGCTATCTTTTCTGTAAATTAAAAGTATGTGGGGACTCTTGTTCATTAATTTTCTTAATTTGAGTGTGTTAAGACACTTATTTTATCTGGAACTCCTTGTCTACAAGAAGTTTAAATTTTGTCAACTGTTATTTTTTATCAAGTAGAAGCCACTTATTGTTTACAGAAATTCATATTTACAATATAAATAGTGACATAAATATTAATTAATTATTGTCAGAATTCAATTCTGAGGAGTTTATACAAATTCTAAAAATTTGTCTGATACATTTTTCATTAAGATTTATTCAGCCCTGTTTTTCCTGGGAAGGTTCCCTTTGATTAAATCATTGACATCATTATTTTCTGCCCAGAATTACTCTTGAGGCCAGGAGAGGTCATTTGGAGGAATTCAGTAAAGATAAATTAAATATGGCAATAAAACCTCTGGGATTGTAGAGAATGTACACATATATGTCATCAGTTTATAAACTAAAGCAATTTTCTTTCAAATCATTTTTGCCATGATTTAGAGACAAACCATGTGGTGAATATTTTGATTCACTGAAAAAATTTTTTGCAGGGTAGAGTATGGATCGACAAATTAAAACTGTATTATTCTCCAGAACATTCAGAGATAGGTGTACTAGGCTGAATCTGCTTTTATTTATGCTTTTTGAGGGATTTACTCTGCCTCTTAGAATCAGGATCTTGGACTTGCATTTTACATGGTAGAATAGATCTTGCAGAACTCTGAAATACTATTTAAAAAATTTGCCAGATTTTTCTCCTATTGTTCAGTGTAATAATTTACTAATAGATGGTTGAGAATTTGGAGTATATCTAAAAAAAATAAGTTGAATTCACCAGATACTTTGGAGGGCATAGTTGGAGTATGTGTTCATCTACTCTTTTTACTACTTGTTCCCTTATATATTTTTGTGGTACTGTCTGATATAGACTTTCTAGGAGAAAGAATTTCAAACATATATGATACCTTTTCTCTATTTCTATTCTTCCTTCATAATAATAAGTGGATTTTTAAAATAACTTCCATATAATACAAAATAATATAATTATACCACAGGGACTGATCATAATGATGACAAGCCGTTTTTTTTTTTCACTTATTTGGTTCCTCATTTTATAAGTATGAGGTATGTAAGAGGGTGAAAGACCTACATGAATGCTTCCTTCTTCCCTGTTCTAGGCTGAGTCTCCTAGGCTAGACATTCTATCCTTTAGCAGAAGTGTCAAGAAGAATGTATTGTAGAAAGGGTTCCTTGCAGCATTTCAGGGCACTTTCTCTGATAATATTGTTTTAAACTACTTAGTTTTGTTGTTTTCATTAAGTGAAAATTAATTCATTAATGAAAATTAATGCATACTGAATTCTGTTAAAAACAAAAGTCCAGAGTTCTAGGCAGATACTAGAAAGCATTATCAAAAGCCTTAGAATATTTCAAACAATTGGCATTTTACTTGTCTCTGTTTTTCTGTGTCTTGAATTGGAGATCAGACCCATACTTATCCTCTTTTGTAAATTTTAATGCTGTCCATTGTAATATAAAGGAATTATATTTTGAAAATTACCTTATTAAAATATTCATAATTTCAACATTGATTTTAATTTTGGCTTGTATTGTATAGCATAGTACTACTAAATAAATGTATTCAGCTTTCAGTTACATTAAGAAATGGTCCCAATATTAAATGGGATGATTCTGGTTTTAGGTATAACTGCTGCAGCAATGGCTGAAGCAATGAAACTGCAGAAGATGAAACTCATGGCTATGAACACACTTCAGGGAAATGGAAGCCAAAATGGGACTGAATCAGAGCCTGATGATCTTAATTCTAACACAGGTAAGTATATTCAGGGATCCTGAAAAGGTGACTATCCTTTTTTGAGAGGCGGGGGAGAAGTGGAATTACGAAGGAGGAAGAAATATATATACTTTGATTACAAACAATTGCTTCAGAAGATACTTAACCCTATTGATAACTTGTGCACTGAATCTAGAAAATGATTAGAGATCACGATCTTATTTCAGAAACATTCCATTATCTCCATTGTTTTGTTGCAGTGGAATTGAATTCTGATTTGTACAGTGCTAGTCAATCAATGTACTTTCTGTGTGCTAAAGCCTGCCCTATTATTGCAGCTTCACCCCAGGTTTCTTATTCCATTCTTATCTAAATAATTCATATTTATTAAGTATACACAATGTACAATAGTTAAACAGCAATAAGGCAATATGTTGGTACTCTGAGGACAGAAGACAAGAGTCACTGGATTTCAAATGTGTACAATCTAAGGAAAGAGATAAAATATACATATATCCCGGTGTGGTGGCACATACCTGTAATTCCAGCAACTCAATAGGCTGAGGCAAGAGGATCACAAGTTCAAGGCCAGTCTCAGCAACTTAGCAGTTCCCTAATCAACTTAGCGGGACCCTGTATCGAAATAAAAAGGGGTGGGAATGAGGTTCAGTGGTTAAGCAACCCTGGGTTCAATCCCAGGTACCCCACCCCTACAAATGTACAAATATGAATATACCACAGTGAATTTCACCTTTATGTGTAGCTCTAAAATACCAGTTAAAAGACTGTAATTAAATTGAAGGAAATCAAATACAGTACTGAAAGAAGAACAGGGGGAAGGAGGAGGGGAGGGAAGAGGAAGTACAGGGCACTTCAGTGGAGCAAATTATATTTCATGCATATATGTTTATGTCAAATGAACCTAAAGGTTATATACAACTATAGTGAACTAATAAAACATGAAAATAAAAATGAATCAGTGTATAAAATATACTCTGAGATAAAATGTGACAAAAGCAACATGATAAATAAAGTACTATGAAAATATAAAGAGAAGAAACTTCTAAATAAATCAGAAAAATATTCATGTATAGGGTGAGGTATTTGAGTAGGAGATGATGTTAAAGTGAAACTCAGAAAATGGATGGCTTAAATGATGTTTTAAATAGATAGGACTATTCCCCTAGGTAACCATTTCCAAATTGTGGTTTTCAGAATCTCTCATATTGTGTCTAAGATATTGTTTGAGGAAATTGTTGTGTTTGATTACTGGTAAGTTTTAATAAACATTCTCAGGTCAACTCTAGAGCTCCCGTTGTTTACAATGTTATTGACAAAGATTTCTAAATTTGAATTTTGGATGTCTTAGTGACTTGAAATAATTAAGCCTTATCCCACAGATGATACTTGTAGGATAAGAAATTGGGTCATCAAGTAGCTGGGTAAGGAAAGAGCTAGCACTGAGACATATTTTCTTGGTCTTTTTGTTTAACATTATTTCTTTAATGTTTGAATTGATTTTCTAGTATAATCTAAGGTACATAGTTTCTTTCTTTGGTATTACATCTCAATCAATAATTCTAGACAAGGAGATGTGCTGGTAAAAGGATTTGTCCTTAATTTGGTATGACCAATTTTCTATTCATGATTTAATCTAAAGTGTATTCTGGATATTATGGTTTTGATTATATCTCTGATATTTTTTTGATATTCTTTTTTTCATTAAGTGAGGTATAGAAAACAAATGTTTCACTAGATTTCTAAAATTGTCTCCAATAATCAAGTTATAAAATTTCTGTTAGACCTACAAATATTCCAAGCAATTAAATGCTTTAAAATTTTGCTTTCATTTTAAATGTAAGCTTGATGACTTAAATCCCTGCTCTGAAATTGTGCTGAGTGAATATTTCTCTTTGTTTTCCTCATGGGAAGCTTTTGTTTCTATAAGGCACAACTAAAGACAGAAATGAATGGTCTCTGTTCACTTCATTTATTTGTGGCCATATCGACATTTTACCTGAGAAAATTTTGGCTTTTATAAGCTATTTTCATTATGATCTATGTGACCAGAAAAGAATTTTAAAAGATTTTTCTTCTTTTAAATTTCAGATGGTGCATGTTCTGTTTTAAATGCCATATTGTGACAGCATTGCTATTCAATTTCATCACAGTGATTAGTTGCTAAATCTCCAGAAGGCAAATTATAGCAGCTATAAAAAGATACCAAATATTCAATTAAAATATTTCTGTTGGTGTTAATATGTTTACCTATCTTGTCATTGTAAAAAGAATCACATTCTATTTTCTTTGCATATTCCTTGTAACTTCTTATTCCAATATCCATTTCCATTGACTCTTGCCATTTATTTATGCAAGTCCTAGTATTTATTTGTTTGTGATAGGTTTTTATCAAAATATGTATTAAATATCATGTTCTACACACTTCAACTCCACAGGAAAATGTACAAAAAGGAAACACATTCCTAGAAGTTATAATATCAACCATTATTCATTTTGTTCTTCACAAAACAACCAAAGTAGTCATAGTTCCCAAACTCTTATGATCTAAGAAAATAAACAGGACACTGACCTGAAAATGTAGGAAGCTTGTGTTAAATTGAAATGGAAGAAAAGAAGTCTCCCTTTGGAAGTTTTTATATGCCCTCATATTTCATTGAAATTGATATTTTTGATGGATTCTGTAAGAGCAGAGATAAGAGAGAGGATAATGGAATTAATAACATTAAGCTTTAAAAGGTAAAGCAAACATAGATGTTAGAAGATTTCTAGGCAAGAATAGCATTTTCTCTTTTGAAGACAGACCTATAGTTTCTTTGATTCAAGGTTTTGTTTAATAGCTTCTGTAATGGCTGGACCATGATTCTGCATCAAGATTTCAGCATGAATAACAACCTGTTCGTGTTTCATTTAGCTCCAAATGAGAAATTCTGTCTTTTATTGTTTTAGGAAATTAGTCTGTGTACTATTGCTCCTGTAGCTTTATAATTAATCACTAAAGGTTATGGCTGTGGAGAGTTTGTGGGAAATAGATGCCTGAATGATTATAATTGTAGCTGTCAAATTGGAAATATAATTATAGACCAGCAGGTCCTTTTTAAAAACTATGACAAAAACTTTGAGGGTTACCCATTTACATGTAGAAATACATGGTTTATTTTTGACTGTGTTTCTTATTTCAGGAAGAACTGTGCACCATAAGTCCTCTGGAGAGTCTAAGACTATAACCATGTAAATCTTTATCCTCTGAATCTCTGCTTATTCTGACTTTTGTGTTGATTTAGCTTCTGTGGAGCAGATGTTTTTTGTCTTTTAGAAATGTAGAGTATTTTGTCTTTTAGAAAATACAGTTTACAGTGGAAATAACTGAAGTTGATTAACTTGCAAGTTTGAATTAGAAAATCCCAAGATTATCTTTTTTCTTTGTTATCCAAACACCTCATTAGATATGGAGCAAGATGTTTCTAGAGAATCAAATGAGGCACGCTTGTTTTTATTAAATCTTGACACCAAAAACTGCTTTTAGGTTTTCCTCTTAGAATTGTAAACTTTTGCTCTTCTTTTCTACTTCTGTGCCTCTGGCCCCTTTATAAGAAATGTAAACCAGGAGAGTTTATTGTATTTTTCAAGACCCTTTTAAAAACTTATTCCAACAGGAATTATTGTGTCTACTCTTAATACTTCATGTAGTAGATTAAGGATTTATTGTTTTGTCAGTGTTATTAAGGTAAGTTTCTATGAAAGCACCTCAGAGTTAAGCCTTTGCATACCTCTTCTTCACAATGAATAATTTAAAATAATGTCTTCTTTCCTTACAGATCTTATTTATCAACCCATAATCATTCTAGTACTTCTTTCAAAGCCTCCACCTTCCTCTTGCTCTCAGATAGGCTATTAATCCAAAGTGTTAAATGCCAATTCTAAGGGAGGATCTAAGCTGTATTGAATTTAATTTGCTTTCTGTGTCTTATACTTCTTGAATGTGTCTGAGATTTTGTACATTTGAGCTAGATTCCTAGCTCTATTATAGTTTTGTTCTGCAATTTTAAACAAGTTTCTTTCTCTTCATACCTTAGTTATAATGAATGAGTTTAGTATAATTATATTGGATTTAAGTTGTAATTATCATTTTTTTGTGATTCTTGAACCTCATTGGTTGATCCCCATCTTCTCTTTTTATTCTTTTCACTTAATGGGTACTCTTTTGAATCTAGAGCTCTTATAGTCCACATTATTTCTTTCTTTTTTTGGGGGGGGCGTACCAGGCATTGAACTCAGGGGCACTCAATCACTAAGCCATATCCCCGGCCCTATTTTGCATTTTATTTAGATACAGGGTCTCCCTGAGTTGCTTAGCACCTTGCTGTTGCTGAGGTTGACTTTGAACTCACAATCCTCCTGCCTCAGCCTCCCAAGCTGCTGGGATTACAAGTGTGCACCACCATGACCAGCCAACCTATTTATTTCTTACTGGGTCTTCCACTCTGTGTTGTCACTTCAGATTCTGAACAAATCCTCAAAATTTTTACATTGGTGTCTCCTGATCAAAATCTGCTCTATTTTCAGGCACTAATAGAAATGTCTTCCCTGCACTTGAGATCTAGGAGACTTTGCTGTATAATTGTCCATAATTAACTTTAATCCATGGGTGACCACTCTTTGACTGTCCCTTTTCTGCCTCCTACCTCCTGGGAACACTATCTAAGTGTGTGACCTGTTTGGATTTTCACAGTTTATTGATGATCCAATTGTTTAGACAGGTCTCAAAAACCTTGATAAAGTCAAAATAAATTATATCTACTGCTTCACCTTTGTTTCTCAGACTGTTATTTTTTCACAGAAGGGAGATTAGATTTGCTTAAAAAAGCTTGGTCTTTAGGAAGCCATGCTGGGTATTACCCATCATACTGTTCTTTTCAAAGTATTTGGAAATTGATTAGTACTACATTCCAGGACATATATCTTATTTTTACAGACTACATACGAACAGATAAAACAAATACCAGAAAAGAAAAAATGTA